TATCAGTTTCCCAACCCACACTACTCGGTTTCGAATACCACTTAAGATGACGATTAAGGCTTGTCGAAGACTTAAGAATAGCTTGGTCTGGATGATATAGTACATGGTATGAAGTACATAGAAATGAAGACAAAGATGGCGTGTTCTTATGATTGGTCACTGTCTACTATAGCTGTATAATGTTATCTTGGCCTTGTTTCCGCAAACTGGTTGGAGCCACAGGGATTCCTTGTGGAACTTACCTAGTCCTGCGTCCGCTGTCCTCGAGTATCCATGATGATTTTCAGCATCTGACCGTTGATGTGATACATTCCCAGTTGTTTCGCCGGCATCTTTCTTGAGAGGCTCCATTCTTAGCACAGAGTTGCAAGTATTCAAATTAAAGAGTTGATAAGTTGTAACTCAGTACTAACGATGTCACATCGATGCCGGCGAAACGTCTGGAAATATACCAAATCAATGGTCCCAAGTTGATAATGTAGTGGCAGAGGACGCAGGACTAGGTACGTTCCACAATGTGAAGTGCAGCCTAGATTGGAGTTAATCTGAAAAACAGAATATAATGATCAACTTATTAACGGTCAGCACTAAGCATTATCAGAGTGAACAGGGGTCTCCATTCTGTTCGCTACGAGTTGCGGTCAGCAATATTGTCACAAAACAAGCATATAATAGTCTGTTCAACATATGTTCGACCTGAAGCATTTAGTATAAATGCTGAGCACATAAAATAGTCCCAAACAGTATCAGTATGCATCATTCAAATTGTCCTTAAGCATAAATTTGCAATGATAATGGCAATATATCATATAGTAATATGACTTAATAAGGTGTGAAGAAGTTGAGATGCAGATGATAGCAATTAAGATGATAAGGCAAAACTTGGTCATTGAAGATACGAAAACCAAGATGGTGTAGCTTATGTTCTAGCAGCAGTCTCCCTTCGTTGTATAGAATTGATCTGACCTCTTTTCGCATCTTGGTCGTGTTGTCAGGGCGACCTAGTTAAGCACATCTTGTCCGAAGTCATGTGCAATGGTAGTTATGATAAGTTCCAGCGCTGGGCTATGGACTTGGTACATTCCCAGACGTTTCGACGGAATCGTAGTCGGCATTATCAGTGAATCTTGCCACTTAGTAATATTGCCAGAAAATGCACTAAATACAGTCGGACAAAGAAGCTAATAATAAGTCAATTATGCCACCCGAATTATTAAACTGTTGTAAACATTATGGTATCCCATATTTTTCGTATATAAGTAAAGTTTCGAGACTACATCTCATATTATGACATCCCTTCTGGATTCTGTCACCTTAAGAGACATTAGCGTTCGTACAGGGTTAATGAAATTCTTCAACATATCTCCATTTAAAAGTTAAGATAAACTTATGATATGAAGAGGAATAAATTAGTTAGTGCTGGTTTGACCACGTTTTCGCAACTTGGTCGGAGCGATAGAGAGCCCATATGGAACGTACCTAGTCCTGCATCCATTGTGATTTCCTGTATCGGATCATTGGCTTAGAACATTCCCAGATGTTTCATTAGCATCGTCGCAAGTTAGAGCCAGTGAGATGACAATGACTATGATCAGTACGACGATCGGGATAAAGTGATAAATTTATACTAGATTCTTCTTGATCTCAAAATCACTATGATACTGAAGAGGCGGCTGAATTTTTACCTTCAAAGTGATAGAAACCTTTCATAATACACCCTTGTGGAGGTCATTAATATGCCCCACAAGTTCCATGAGGTGACAAAACGGGAAATTGAGATAGTAATAAACCCATGAATTTGGAGACATATGGAACCAACAAACAAGAACAAATTAGCAAGGATAAGAAGGAACCTAAAAATAAATGAACAGCTAATCTTTCAGGCGGATAAAGGAGGAGCGACAGTGATAAGAGACAGGAAGTAATATAGCGAAAAGATGTAAAATATACTACCAGACAGGATCACGTATCATCTACTAAAAAAGGACCCAACTATGAAGATCACTGGAACCTTACGTGATATGCTAAAAGATGTGCAAGAAACGGCGAAATCGACGGATGGACGATAAATTCAATAATAAAAAAGGATGCACGACCACCAACAGCCCACGGACTACCGAAGATACACAAAGAAAGGGAACCACTAAGACTGATAGTCAACAGCAAGTATGGATCGACACCCAGATTGGTAAGGTTCATATGTTCGAAACTCAAGAAGTAGAGCGACAAGTTATTAGAAGCATTGAAACATTCCTATGAATTTTCTCAAAGGATAAAAAAAAATGACACTGGAAGGAACACAATTATTGGTACGTCTTGGTATATAATCCCAGTATGCAAAAGTCTTTGGAGAAAAGACGCTAACAGCCCTGCTGAAAATCTTTGACCGAGAAGAGGATATCCTGGAAGAAAAGATTATCAGGAGGGAATCGTTAACGTGACTAGTCAACATGTCAATAAGGACTACCTGCTTCTCATTCAACAGCAATATCTATGGGCAGACATCTGGACTTCCTATGAGATACCCACTTTCAGCTCTTTTTGCAAATGTATACATACATAAATTAAAAGATAAATTCAAGATGCCACCGCAGCAACCGAGAATGCTCATACGATATACCTGAGTAACTACTCCTCATTTTGGTTGCATGGAAGATAAAAATTGGACGATCTCCTGAAGCGTATAAACCAGATTGATGAGAGAGGCGTAGGAGGAATGTTTGCCTGTCCTGGATGCTGAAGTCATTCATTTGAATGGTACACTCAAGATAAACTCGTCCAGAAACAAGTCATAGGCCGGAAAAAGATTCAATTTAATCTCATCATAACTACAGACTAAAGATTGGAATAGCGAGGAGCATCAGAAGGCTTCGATTAACAGACATAAAAATTCTGGGATGAAGAATAAGACAGTTTTCCGGGGCAACAGATACCCGAAATAAGTAATACAAAAATTCATAAAGGCCGTGAAAAGCATATGACAGGATGGTTGTTATAAAAGAAGAAGTATGGAGAAAGGCAAGCAAAAGGCCTATCTTTCAGTGAACTAACTCAAAAACTACGGCCAATATTTATGAAAATGGGATATTCAGGCGACCACGAAAGAAGAAACAGCACTCTTCACAAGTTTACCCAGGCAACATAAGATGTTAAACAAATAGGGTTGTTCGGAAGTTTACTGCATAGCATGCTAAGTCTGAAAAACAGAAATATGTTTGCGAAACAGGAAGAAAAATTAGCATATGAATCAATGGGCATCAAAAGCTTTGCAGGAAAATGGATATCGATAAATCAGAAATAGCGGAACACATTGAAAAGACATGAGATTAATTGAGAGGCAACAGAAAGAAGGACCTCATATGGTTAAAACACAAGTAAACGGAACATTATGGAGGTGATTGACATCCTTGCGGAAATAGATTTAATGAACAAGAGATTGGAAGAAGGCAGAGTTATAATAACTTTATATGAGATGTATTCACCCTATTTAGTGTAAGGTGATGAAGGATGTGCACTGTGACTGGAATTCAGTGAAATCTGGCAATGAAAAACACTTGTTTAGCACTCCTAGACACAAAAAAGTGGAGCCAACGAGAGAGTAGTTTGTCTTCATTACAAAGTGATGTAGCTGAACAAGTGGTCCACGAGGTAATCCTATTCTCTCCAAAGAAGGCCTAAAGCTTCCAAGCCCTAGAGAAATTCCCATAAGATGCAGAGCAGAATGTTTAATTGTGATAATGCATATAAGGCATAATAATAATGGTGTATGATAGATAACATCAATGCATTACTACACTCTTAATTATGCTAGCTCGCTTTAACTGGTTAGTTATGCCCGATAAAGTCTAGTCTTTTTTAGTAAATTTTCGTTATTTTCAATCTTCAATTCAATTCACCTGAGTCAAGGCTGTTCCAGGCCCCACATGCGGCCACGACGAATGTGAGCGAGTACTTCCCAGCATTTAACAGATGGGGGTTGGCATTTTTCACCTCCATGTCTCTGTACCGCCGAAGGCACTGAGCGAATCTAAACCAGGCCGGAAGGGCGCTCAGCAGAGGATCTATGCCAAATAAGAGACCTAGACAACGACTGCTCTGGCCTGCATGGAGAAGGATGGATAAAAAAAGTAGATTAAGATTAAAAATAATCCTCGGGTGGATATGAATCGTGCTTGCCATATCTTCTTTGAATCTCAATTAATCTATGCATAAAGCATGTCTGAATTATACATTAACTAGAGATAATTCCTCTCACGAAAATGCAAATTAATTACAGTCATACAAGTATTTCGTAGTGACACTTCAGTAGACCTAATTTATACAGAGCCAAAACTAGTCTACCCAATCTTGATGTAATGACTTACATTCACCATAACTTTTTACCTTAAAATACTAAGGCGAATATAAATAGCTTTTAATAGAGAAGGATGCAAGCGGAATGCTATGCTGATTCATAGAGGAAAGATGTATGAAAAAAGCGGTTTAGTTCAATAACTCCCCAATTTTAACAGAAGGTTACAAGTTCGTGAAAATCACGAGGATTACTTTAGAATCTTCTTTTATAAGTCCACCCGTTTTATTATAAGGAATTCGTGCAAAAAATTATCCCCATAATTTTAAGTATACCGTTTTGATAAAAGGTATTATAATCCATTAGGTGGCAAGTAATACAAATTTAAAGTAAAAAAATATTCCAAAGATTCATTTAAACAATGCTCACAAAGTAGTAAAAAATTCCAAGAAGAAATGTATTTGAAAATCTTCCTTATATTCGCTAAATGAAACCAGTAGAACTCGGTTATAAATGCATGCCAGGCAGCATAGTTGTACATGTGTCATAAATACACCCGATGGGATTCCAAGGTATACCATGAATGTTGTACTTACTTTCATTTCGAGTGAAAGTGTTTGGTGAAGACATTTGAAGGTTGATTCCACCAGAAGACGCCGGCAGATTCCTCTTGACCAGCTGTCGATTGGCTTTACTGGAACATGAATTAAAGCCCGGAAAGCAAAGGCGAAAGGATAGGAATTCGCAGGGGACAAACAACTTTTACAGCAATATAGGCCCGTGAATATAAATACAAGGTGAATAATAACAATAAGACTAACTGGGGAAGAGAGTAAATCAAAGGATTGTGTGCCCCTCTACTTACTTCGAATATTCACACTTTCCTAAATGACGAATACAAATGGTAGATTATCATATCTTTATCCTTACGAAATATGGCGGAAAGCAGAGATAAGAAAAAAGGTAGCAGTGCCATTAGCCCAATAGAGCCCATCTATTTAATAAAATTCTAGTGAGATGAAAGAAAAGCGCGAAAAGAATAGAATATGAATAGGCAAGCCTGGTTTACCAACGATTTTGAGTCCACAGAGGAAAATCAAATAAAGAAAATGTCTATTCTGAAAACATAATATAATCTGGTGGATAAGGCTCCTTACGGCGAGAGGAGATTAAGAAAGCTAGGCTTAGTAACTATTCTTAAAACACGCTGTTGACTTGATTTTACTCTGAGAATAATGAATGAATGGGCCGCCAAGGTTGTCTTCCCTATAACAGTCTTCCGCCCCAATATATCTTATTTGTGTCTAAACATGTAAGAAATTAGACGAATAAATGGGCTGTAC